ATTCTTTAATGGGTGTCCAAGTGAGGTCTTAATGATTTTATGCATCATTACTTGGCCTGGGTGACCTAAACGGTCATGCCACAACATGAATGTTTTCTGATCATCTAACTTTGTGTTAGAAACCAAATTTATTTCAAATGGACTAATATATGTGAAATATAGTCCTAAGGAATATGCTGGCATTTTTTCACAAATATATTTAGTGCCAGATTTAGTTGTTGTAAGACAAATATATTCTTTTTTGTTTTCATTCATGGTTTCTATGTGATAACCATTTTGACGCATATCTTTAAAACTCAATAAATTCCTCCGCGATTTGCTGGAGTATAGAGCGTCATTTATAATTATTTGTGTCCCGTTAGGGAGCATCACATATGCTTTCCCAGAGCCTTCAATGAGCTTTGCAACACCTGATATTGTATTGACTTTAGCTTCAACTAAAGTCATTTGAGAAAAATATATTTTATTTCTCAAAATGATGTGCGTTGTGGCGTTGTCTATCAGACATAGCTCTTTATCATTTGAGTGATCCATATCTTCAATATGTGTAAATAAACATAAGCTTGATCACAAATTGTACATATAATTTAACACAAAGTACATATATTACACACATTTATTTAAAAACAAAAGAAAAAGGGGAAGAAAGAAAAAGTACATAAAACTAATATGTTACAACATAAGGATTAGAGTCTAATATTTTATTTTGTGACATTTTGATTTATTGCAAAAGCATCGTCCATAATGGCGTCATTCACGAAGAAGTCGGACACATCAAATTTTGTCAGAGGTGGAGTTGTGTCATTAACATAATTAGTTTCCACATTTTTGTCTTTGTTCAGATTCATGGAAGCTTGAAATAACTCCACCAGATGTTTAGCTGTGTGACATTTATTAGCCCAGTGCCCCGTCATGCCACATTTATAACAAGTCGTCTTTACCGAGGTTTTTGTAGGGCGATTTATTTGATGAGCTTTTTGTTTGCCCTTGCCCTTGTAATTCGGTCTTTCGACCCGTTTATATCCTCTGTAAGACTTGTTATTATGACCACTAAAATGCCCACGTTTAAAATGCCTTCTACTGCCACTGTGTGTTGCATTTGATTCAGTGGCTAAATTATGGCCAGATGGACCATAAATCGAAGGACTAGAACCGGTGGGTCTCAAATTGTGATTTTTCATCAAAAGGTCATTGTTTTGCTCAGCTACCAATAATACTGATATTAAGTCAGAGTATTTTTTAAAACCCTTTTCTCTATATTGCTGTTGTAGCAGCATATTAGAGATATGCATAGTAGAAAAGGTTTTCTCCAACATATCAGCGTCAGTGACTTTTTGTCCACATAACTTTAATTTGGATGTTATTTGGAACATAGCAGAATTATAGTCACTTATAGATTTAAAGTCCTGGAATCTTAAATTGATCCAGTCATACTGAGCTTTTGGTAAAAGTGCCTTTTGTGGGTGGCCATACCTCTCTTGTAAATTGTCCCATAATTCTTTTGGATCATCAACCAAAAGATATTCAGATTTGAGACTTTCATGGAGGTGGTGACGGAGGAAAATTATAGCTTTCGCTTTGTCTTGCGAAGATGACATATTATTGGCTTCAATGGTGTCTTCCAATCCATTTGCTTTTAAATGTGCCAAGGCATCCACTTTCCATTCAAGGTATTTTTGACCGGATAGATCAAGAACGTCAAATTCTCGTTTGCTAATATTTGCCATACTACAAATTTATTATTTTAAACTTAATTAGAAATATGGAGTAAATTAACAAGAAATCTTATTTTGGGACTTTCATATTACTTTACTCCTATTTAGGGCAATAACTTTAGAAATATTGGTATTTACATATTAGTATTATCAAGTAATAACACTAATATGTAAATATTATTAAATGACCTGTTTTATCATTATATGTGTAATATAGTTGACACAAATAAAATTCATTGATTTGTTCAAATTATTACTACGTACAACAGTTCAACTTATTACATTCCTTATTGCCATTATTAGTTTATTAATTAACTAATTTTAAGACAAATTAAAATTAAAGGCTTGTGAGGAGAGAACTTATCTACTCCTCCGTATTACATATTCACATCTATCATTATTTTAAAATAATCTTCAGTCCCAAGTTCTAACAATCAACTGACATCTCATTTTGTTTATTTACTACGTATTTGTTTGTATACTTGTGTAGTAGCTAATGTGCAGACCCGTGAAGAAAGAAAACAAAAGGAAATTGCAGTTTCTTGGTTTGATAACCTGTTCTTACAAAGAGCACTGTTTCGTTTTCAAAAATCAAGGTTACTCCGTGACTATCTTATGCCATCTACTATATATATGAACTAATTTGTTTCTTATCTACTATGATCCCATTATATACTATGATCACTATTTATTCATAGGGAGCTAGCAGTCTTATCATTTTTCTACTTCTTCTTTATTAGTTATCCGTATTATTCTTTCTTTCTTCTTAGAGTAACCAAGTCATAACTCTGATACTTTTATTCCATCTCTTTATATGAGTCCATTTTTATCTCCTACTCCAGCTTTTATCATCTTCCTTAGAGTAGTCTGTATCATTCAGAAAGTTTCATAAATTTCTCCTATTTGTACATGGGCTATAAATCAAAGAGAGTATTCAAATTGAAGATAGTGATATACTTTAAAGTTACGTATGTAGTTACATAATTTTTTTTATTCGTAGTAGTTATATAAATAAGTATAATCCTGATTTGGGTTATCACAGAGTTACTTTCGTAATATATAGCATAATACGGGGTGATAATAAGGTTAACACCTGCAGGAGATGCTGATTGCTGAAGATTTTGAACAAATTCGTGCTGATAACGTGTTGTGAAATGAAGAGGATGAAGACTAAACTTAAGAGATAGATATATTAATAAAAGCTCTGAATATATTCTTCTTAATCTCTGAATATTTTCTGAATTTCTAAGTGAATTTACAATGCCTCATCAAGCTCCTATTTATACTGTTTGAACTTGATGATTAGTCACTTAAGGGATGAATCTACATATTTGGTGGCAATAACAATTTGAGCCATCTGTTCTAACTAGGTTACAAGGATTAAACATAATTTCTGGATTGATGACAAGGATGAACAATTCACACTTGTCATTTCCAGGATTTTACAACATACACTTCATACTGTGATTTGTCCATTTATTACTTTTCGGGACATGGTATGGAGTATGAACTAACATAATTAACCAATAGTAAAAATGTAATATAAATTATAAAGCTAGGGAACCAACATAATTAGATTTAACTGAGTTTTATACACCATATAACATTTTAAATAGGGGTGGGCATAAAACTCGAACCGAACCGGTACCGAACCGTCCCGTAATGGTACCGAACCGAATACCGGATATTTAAATGGTTCTATAGATTTTTATCCCGTACCGAAACCGTACCATTTGAAACGGGTACGGGACCGGTCCTATGTTTTGAGAACCGAAAAATACCGGACCAAACCGTTCGAAAATAATGCATTTGAATTTTTTATATTTTTTCTATACCAATAGATCTCTTTTATAGACCAACAATTTTATAGCCCAAGTATGTATATATTCATGTGTCCCTAAGATATTTAAATTTATATATATATATATATATATTGTTATTTTTTTCTTTTTAGATAATTCATGTTATATTTTGGTATGTATTGAAAGAATATTAAAATTTTAGAAATCATTAATGACAATTCATTTCTAGTAATGTAGTGTACATGACTTTTTGTTGTATCTTATTTGTGCAATTTTTACAACTTAATTAATATGGTTTAAATATTAGCTTTTAAGGTTCAACTATAAATTAAGTGAGAACTACGGAGTAATATTTAACTTAGAACGAAGAAGAAGAATATTGAAGATTTCTATTATATTCAATAATTTGATAATATTCGTTTTTATATTTTCACATGAACTTAGTAAATTAAAGATGATATTTATCCCGTGTGTCATCGTTTTGCTATACATTTTCTTAGGTGTGTTGCAATATTTGTGTATTTGTGAATTTTAGTACCCACTACTACAGTACTACGTATGCAATTTCTTGTATTTATATCAACATTTCACTAATTGCAAGATTCGTTCAAATTTTTTAGCATTTTACCGTACCATTTTGTACCGTTTCGAAACAACATGGTACCAAACGGTTCTATCGTTGGAACCGAACCGTACCGGACCGTTAAAAACCTTACGGATACATTGCGGTAGGGGTGGACTCGGGTCGGGCCAACCGGCCCGGAACCGGACCGGCCCGCCACTGTGCAGGCCCGGACCAGCCCGGTGAACCGGTTGGTTGGCCGGTTCGGGCCACCCGGCCCGGTGGATTCTCGGTTCGGGCTCGGGCCCTTCAAAAGGTGAACCAGCCCGGCCGGTTCAGGCCCGGGCCGGGCCAATTTTAAATTTTTTTTTTTGAATTTTTTTTGAGTTTTTGGGTTGGACTGGGTATTTTGAGCCATTTGAGGTGGTTAGAGTTGGTTTGGGGGTGAGGAGGAGGGGTGGGGGTTAACTAAGAAAAGCCCAAAAAAAAAATATACTCGAGGCCCGGCCCGGACCCGAGGGTTACCCGGGCCGGTTCCGGGCATCCCATACCTTGAACCGAGGCCCGGCCGGTTCAAAGCCCAAACCAGGCCCAGCCCGAACCGAGTCCATCCCTACATTGCGGATTTTACCAATTTACCGGACCGTTCCCGACCGCGCCCACCCCTAATTTTAAATACAATAATTACCATTTACCATACAACTCGTAAAATGACGGCAAAACAAATCAGAACACACCATACGGTGTAGAAAAAGGCGCATACAACAATCCATTAGGTGATATGCGCATGAATGCTTTGAAGCCTTAGCCTAACATAAGTTATCTAAAATTATCTAACAAACAATTATCTTCCCAACCTCTACAGAACGCTGTTTTGGCGCCTTGATTACTCAAAAAAGCAGCCAATAGAGACCTGTATAAAGCGATACAAGGAGATATTTTGATAGTATTAACAAAAGTTAGGGAGAATGAGGAGTTATTTATAGCCTCTTGAGTATTGCCGATCAGCTGTAGGCAGCAAAACTTGGGAGCAGTTACAAAACAAAGAGGGTACACCGTACACTTGAAAAAGAGGAAAATTCTATCCTTAACTAAAGAATATAAACAATCCAAACACAAAAAGAAAAAGGGAAATACAAAAAAAAGTACAGCATATACAATAAATGTCAGCTGGCTACAGATTATGTTACAACTCTGTCGAAGACACTTGGATGGCTTAGGCTTAGGCTTTCTCTCTCCCTCTCTAAGTCTACTACATATCACCATTGGTGATGGAATGTGTATTTACAAACTGCAAACTGGTAATAAAATACATCCTCTTCGAATATTTGCTTCCCAGACATTTATGAGAGGCTGCAAAATGATATAACAAATGCTATTAATTACAACTTCCTGACTGAGGACATTCAAGGATGATAATAATATGTTCTGTATGTATTATCATCAATAGCCAAGTAGGGAAGGCGTGCAATGGGGTAAATACCAGAAGCAGTAGAGCTTCACAGCTTCGGCGGCTTTATCTTGGTCTCCAATACCTTGAACCTGAAAGTTAATTACAGCATCTTTCAGAGTATTAAAAAACTACATCAAGACAACAACAAAACTCATTCAGATCACATCAAAGTATCATACAGTATTGTCTAGTTTTTCAAACATAAACACAACTAAATCTACGTCTATGTTACCCTTTCATCTGAGCTCTAGTTGAAGTCGATAAGTTATACTCCCTCCGTCCCATAAAATAGTTCTCACTTTGATTTGGATCGGAGTTTAAGAAAGTGGGAATAAAGTGGAAATGTATAGTTGTGAATTGGGAACTATTTTTGGGACAGCCCAAAAAGGAAAGTGGGAATTACTTTATGGGACGGAGGTAGTATACCATTTGTAGATTGTACAACTCTTTTTTCATCCATTATCATTGAAACTCCCTGTCATTAAGACAAATAACTCTACACCAATATTACTCTTCTGTTAGAAAATAAAATGTGGAGGAAAATGAATGATGGGCTAAAACTCAATAAACTGATTTTAGATATTTACCGACTCATTTTATTTATCAACATCTAATATACAAAGAGTAAGAAATCTAAGCTGAAATAAAAATAACAAATAATTGAATTGCATTTAGCATAAGAAAAGTAATTGTAGGAACTGTTTTCTGCTCCATAGCATGTTTTCTGATTCAAATTTACCCTAAAAGGTTGATAGTACAACATGCAGCTACAATTCCCTGTGTGTTCGGTTGAGTGATTTAGGAGGGCAGATGGAAAGGATTGATTTTTGTATCACTACTTATGTTTATTTCTGAGTCTTAAACTATAAAATAATTATAACATTAGTTAAATAATGTAATCCTATAATATTTTGAAAAGACTGAAAACCAAATTTTCACAGGTCTTCTCAAAATATTCTCGCTTAACGATTAACTGAGATCAATCCAACCTTTGTATCTTCCGCTTTCATTGTCCCCGCCTGTTAAGTGCATGTTGGTGATGTTGCACAAAGTGAGTAGCATATACATGGCAGAAATGGCAGAAAAGTTACCATACAGGCCCACATGTTGGCTATGACAGTGCCACACAGGCATAACATCGTTACTTCGTTAGATTCGCCAAGCCAATTAAATCAACTCACCAAGACAACTCACCGAGTTGTTTTTCTGGACTGGAATGAACATTAAGTAGCCTAAGAAATCAGCGGTGGACTTGATGGAAAAATAGAGTTAAACTGAGGCAAACACATCAGTGGCCCTCCTAACAGCATCAAAACAAAATCTGGGGACATACTTCTGTGGCCAAGAATGTCAACACACCCACGGAAAGAAAATAGCCAGGGATGTATGAATATTTTTAGTTTTACAAGTAAATGGTTTATGCCTGATTAAGTATTAACTGAGATTGTTTGAAAAACAGAGGTGAATGCAGTATTAGAATCAACTTCCCATTACAGTTATAGTTTTCGATTTTTCCAGCCATCTAAATGCAAAAATAGATTAAAATCACAAAAATCAACCTCCTCCAAATATCTCAACCAAATACACCCTAAACATGGGTTTCTTACTACACAGGATGCAACATTAGTTTGAAAAGAGGGCCTAGTTGCAGAGCACACAATTGCACAAGGAATTACGCATCTCAAATTTAGGGTGCATCAATTTCCATAATGTGCACACTTCAGCTTCAATGAAGAAGCGCTCGCCTATGCCGCTTCATGGGTTCTCGTCACAGAATTGGACATTTTTCAGTGTAGCATCTATCATTTTATATTAATAAGAGAACCTGCTTGGTTTACACTTCTCCCCTGCCAAATCGGGTTTAAAATCTTTATTTAAATGTGATATCAGATTACGACCCCTTCTTCATTTCGGAAATCTTCTTTTATTCCTCTGCTCAAGACATCATAAGTTTTTATCCACTTTTTCTTCTCTTTCTATTCTTCCATGGGACTGCCTCCCTGTTCTGCATCCTATTGCCTTCTTTTACTGTTCTGCTGTCTCTGATTGCCTCTCTGCTCTACATGTTATTACTATTTTATAGGTTCAAACTTTACCAAGGGGATATCTCTATGTTCTGCATGCTGCTCTCTCTGCCTCTTGCATTTTTCTGCTTTTAAGTAGTAGTCAAGCTTTCTTCTTAAGCTTTTTAAGATTAAAGTATAACTGTAAGTAGTGTCAAGCTTTCTTCTTCAAGCGTTTTAAGATTACAGTAGTTTCTTTTCTTGCTGGTTAACAATTTCATCATAAGTTTATGGTATTTAATTAGGTTCCTTGCCAGTCAATGGCATCCTTGTAGTTCTTTTGTAGTATAACTGTATAAGATATCAATAGTTTGACAGTGTTCCTTGAGGTACACGCCTCCGCTTTGAGCCTCGCACCACGGCTAAAAGTTCCTAAAATGCCTCGGCACACCACACGCCTCCTAAAACTAAACATGCAAAAACAAAGAGACCACGCTATCAGCAGGAGCAATACCTCTATTTGTTACTGGAAGTGGGCCTTCAGAGTGTAATCTATGGGGAAGGAATTCTCTATAGTTCATAGTACGTGAAGGGTGAGCCCATCTGTGATCACGATATACCCTTTGGCGTGGAGAATTATAGGGACCAACATCGTAAGGGGCCCTATCGTTCTCTTGGTAGCATGCTCCTGAGAAAATAACAGCCACTAAAATCCATTCCGTAATAGAAAAAAACAGACGAAAAGTATATGGTGTGAGATTTAGTATGCTTATTTAGATAGTATTTTCAAACACTAACTATTACCATTGTGCTGGCCTAATAGACAAAACATGAAATTAGTGCAACTAATTTTTTGCATAAATTGATGCTTTTACATTTTCAGGTATATATTATAAAACTTATAAATATAAATTTTAAATGTACTTGGAGTTTGCACCCCATTTCTTCACCCAGATTTGAATTTGCACCCCATTTTCAAAATAATTAGTCTTTGCACCCTAATGTCTAGAATATCTGTTAAAATGTGGTGCAAACTCCAATTTAAAAGAACTAATGGGGTGCAAAATTAATATTGCGGATGCAAATACCAATTATATTGAAAATCGGGTGCAAATCCAAATTCAGCTGAAAAGGGGGGCACAAACTCCGATTCTCCTTTTAAAAAACAAACATATGATTTAGAAAATTCAGCCCGTTCAGCTACAACTTGTGCAATTTCAGCCTTCAATTTAAGCATTTACCAAACTCACTCATAGTAAACCAGAAACAAATCATACCAGAATGCACAGCCGGCCTCCAGTACTCTCCAGCACCACGATGAGGAATATCATTACGACTTCGGTAAACATCAACATTATCTCCATTGTTATGAACATGATGAAATCTGTTCGGGTAAGAAGGATGGTTGGCATTCCTTGTTGATTGAGCTTGCTGATCACTCTGGATATAGGAAAATTGGTTTGATGGGGCAGGGTGTGGCGGGCGCAATCGGAAAGTCTTTTTGAAATTTCCCTCGGCTGGTGGAAAGTCATTGGCTGCCCAAGCAGATTGATGACGGGCAGATTCACTGTTGAATGGATGGTGAGTTCCTCTCCTGTCAGTAGCTTGATGCTGCTCTGTTTCAGGATTTCTAAGTTCAGCTCTAGCATCAATAGATTTTTGCAGAACAGATTCTTTCAAGCCTTCCCTAGCGATCTGTACTCCATTGCACTGTACAAAGATTAAATATGATGCAATAAAAGATTACTACCTCCATCCAAAAAAATCAGGTTCCATCAAGGTATGACGTTTAAATTTTGGCAATATGCAATTTTTTATAAAAAATAAATCCTACTTTGTTTTTGAAACTATTTGTTTGCTCAACTAAACTTAGTATGCTTAACCTGTTAGGAACACTTTTTCCGGACATAATTACTTTAAATCCAATGAAAACTTAACAACTTTTGCCGAAATAGTACTACTCTTTTAGGACAAAAAGCATGACTCTTTTTTTTCGGGGACAGTAAAAACCCATTTACAATCTGAAGTCAGTAGTAAAAAAGAGTGCACCTCTGAAATTGACGAGAACTTCAAATCCGTGCCTTCAGATATCGAGACAGATGCAACAGGAGAAGGTAAACAAGCGACTGGTGGTGGAAGGGGTGGTGGAGGAGGTGGAGGAAGGGATGGAGGTGGAGGCAGTGGGGACACCTGTATAGGAGATGGAGTTACAGGTAAATCCCTTGGAAATGGTGCACAAACTTGTACAAGATTTTTTAATGGATTATCTAAAGCCTGCCCGGTTTCCATTACAGGAGCATTACTACTTGCAGAGGGTATTTTTTCTTCTTCATTAGGCGGAGCCACATCCTCCATTTCAAGTTCACCTTCAACATCTTCCAGTATACATCGATGTCTCTCAATGTTTCTAACAACATTTTTCTGTCCAGATTTTGCAGCAGGGTGTTCAGGGGTAACAGCCTCAAAACCCTCTCCATCTGAGTCAACTGCGTCCTTTAGTATGGGAGGCATACAAAACCCAAGAAGCTGGATACTTGAATTGCTGGAAAAAATAAGTTAAGTTATGGCATCCAAAATCATAAAAGCTTTTAACAATTCTAGGGAAAAGGGTCAAATAGCCCCTCGAACTAACTTAAAAAGTGCAAATCACCCCTTATATAGGAGGCTCTGTCCGGCCGTCGCCATTTGGGGCGGTTCCCAGTGGAATTTTTTGATGAAATCTTTTGAGCATCTTCTTCATTAGGTCTAGTTTACTCATGCCAAATTTCAGCTAAAAAATCAATCGGGAAGACAGTCAAATGAATTTTTGAAGATAATTGCGCAGTTAAACAGCACAGTACATTTCAGAAAATCATTTGACTGTCTTCCCGGTTGAATTTTTATCTGAAATTTGGTATGGGTAAACTAGACTTGATGAAGAAGATGCTCAAAAAATTTCATCAAACAATTCCACCGGGAACCACCCCAAATGGTGACGGCCGGACAGAGCCTCCTATATAAGGGGTGATTTGCACTTTTTAAGTTAGTTCGAGGGCCTATTTGACCCTTTTCACACAATTCTATTCAATTGGGAACATATACCATAATTCAAATTAATACAATAAAATAAAAATGATAAAGCATTTGTAAACATAATTAAGTAATAGATAAATAAAAGTTACAAATTATAGACATAGAACAAAAATGCTTCTTGTCAACTTTATTTTGTTACTCTTGTGCAAGTAACTTCCTTTTCATCTGTTGCCTTCCTTATTGTCCATCTTACTTCCTTTATGTGTGTGTAGGTGTGTACCCAGTTCCTTATTGTCCAACATACTTCTTTTTATGCAAAAGAGTATGAGGAATGCAGCATGTTATGTTCAGAATCTACATCTACTTAAAGGGGCTCAATTGTTGAATACTATTATAAGTTGTCACTTGTCAGAATTGGTGTCTTTGTCTTCATGTTGTTGTCACTAAGAAACATTGAACCCTTTCTTATATGACAAAGATGTTACCTGAACATTCTTTCTTGATCACAAGAGGAACAAATTCTTTTTTTTCAACATGATAATTGACTACACTGAAGGGGAGCCTTGGTGCACCGATAAAGGTGTTTCTGTGTGACCTGAGAGGTCACAGGTTGACTGGGGAAGGCTTGTCCCTTGTACACCCTTGTGGTGGGACCCTTTCCCGAACCCTCGCCTTGCAGGGATGCCTTCGTTCATCGGATAATTTAGGCTCTATTCTTTTAAACTTGTTTCAGTTCCAAACAAGACCAGACAAGAATTGACTACACTTATAGACTAGAATACTAGATAAAATCAGACCAACATTACACATTGGAATTTTTTATCAGGTTGCTTAAGTCTAGTCTAACTGCTTCTATTTGATATTATGGATGTGCATTTATTACTATGAAATGTAAGCATGGCACGGCATGGCCTACTAAGTTCGTGTCTGGTCAAATCTGATTTGCGATGAATAATGATATGATCTGGTAAGATTCCATCAGCTCCATTGAATTTAAAATAAAAAGATATTGTCTAGTCCAACATAATTCTTTCTTGTACAATCTAAAATGGTTGGATATGTTATTATGTGATACATTCACTGATAAATATCTTATACATTACTTATATAGTTATTAATCTTATTATAGTATAAAAAGGCATATATTTCTAAATTAATTTTATATGACTATTTCAAGTATGATTCTCTTTTTTGGCTGAGAAATTATAATATTGTCATTTTTTGTTTATATGATCTTTTTGTTATCAATTTAAATAGTAGCTTAAAAAAGGTTGGAAGTACCATGCACGACAATTTGAGACTAGCCCACAAAATTGAAGTTCAATCATGGGAGATGTACAAACAGACTCAGAGTAACAAGTTCAATTACTCCTTTAGTTTTGGGAAATGACATACGTACTAAGAAGGGTAATAAGAAACATACCTTCCATATTCATCTACCATCATACCCTCCATTTCTCGAATTGGATCGTCAAAAGACCTCTCTGTTCTTAAAGAGCGTCGGGAGACTGCACCACCAGAAGAAAACCCAGATAACGACTCCAGCTCTGTTATGTGAGGGCGAATGACTGATTCAGGAAGAATCCTCCTTTCATGCCAAACCTTCAACACCTGTTTAAAAAACAAGATAGCATATCATCAGGTTTATATCCAAGCCAATTCAGAAAAATGGCAAGATGAATAAAGACCCTGAAAAAACATTACTTTCAAGCACTGTCTCTGGTTCTCTACAGAACAACTTCCAGAAGGACAAGCTGCTGCTAACATTCGTGGCAATACTGTTTGAATAGCTAAAGGGTATATGGCACCGATGTCACCTGAAATTTTATAAAACCTCAAAACATATACACATGACAGAGATAACGTCATCACCTTATATAATACTCCCTCCGGTCCTATATAAACTTCACACTTTCCATTTTGGGTAGGTCCAAAATAAACTTCACACTTCTTCTCCCTTCTTTATTTGGCAAATTATCTACATCAAAATAGTGCAAAATAGTGCAAAACAGTGCCGAACAGTGCCGAACAGTGCCGAACAGTGCCGAACAGTGCCGAACAGTGCCGAACAGTGCCGAACAGTGCCGAACAGTGCCGAACAGTGCCGAACAGTGCCGAACAGTGCCGAACAGTGCCGAACAGTGCCGAACAGTGCCGAACAGTGCCGAACAGTGCCGAACAGTGCCGAACAGTGTCGAACAGTGTCGAACAGTGTCGAACAGTGTCGAACAGTGTCGAACAGTGTACTCTACAGTAAAGTCAAATTTATTTCCTTAATTTGTGTGAAATCAAAGTGTGAAGTTTATTTAGGACCAGAGGGAGTAGTATCTTGGGATCAGTGCATGAAACTGATGTTGTCAATTAATTGTCTAAGATTGGTTAATAGTAAAAAAAGAGATGTAGAAAAAAATAGCATTAGAGATTTGCACACTAAATAAAGAGGGTCAATCAAAACCAGAAGTCATTGGTGTACCTTTCAAGCCTCTTGAGCTCTGAACTATGGAATCCACTAGAAAAAATAAATCCACTCTTCTGTGTAAATTGGACTCACATTCCAAACTAAAGGAAATAATTTCAACCACCTGTGTGGAAATGGGAAAATGGAAGAAGAAAAGGATGTTTAACATTATAAACAATTAAATAAGACATAGCAGAAAGACATGATGTAGGTGGGGGCTTAAAGCACACACAGGATTTAGAAGAAATTGAGTCTTGGTGTTGGGGCTTAATGCACACAGACTTAAAAGAAATCCAGTCTTAGTGTGGAAGCTTGGTGCACATGCAGGACTTAGAAGAAATGAGTCTCTATGTGGGGACTTAATGACCACATGTTTGAAGCATCATTGCTGAACTTTTTCTTGATTCAAGGCCGCTATTGTTTCAATATTCATTTCTGTGTGTGTTGGGGGTGGGGGTATTCACAATCGTGTGGAGTATGTCTAAGATGACCAACAACAAACAACAACAACATCCAAGCCTTAATCCCAAAAGAATTTGGAGTCGGCTAACATGAATCAATCTATGATATCGATGCCAAACAGAGAGTCGGACAAGGAGGGGGGGAAAGAAGTAAGATAAAACGGATAAAATAAAGATAAATAAATATAAGATAACAATAAAATAAGAATATAAGAAAGATAAAAGATAGAAAAATAAAAGAGCATAAATTACAATGTCTAAGATGACCATTTACAAAATAGATTTTCAATAAAATTACTGTAGCGTATAACCCACCTTAGTGGCAACCCCATATTTAGCACAGTCCATAGCAACACGTGTTGCTCTACCAATGCTTTCCTTAGTCCGAGTCAGCGCTCCTAAAATTGATTCAAAATAAGCCAGAGCAGCATTCGCTTCTCTCTTTGTGCTCATTTTATCTCCAGCCTTTGGTTTATCAAGGACAAAGTCATCTGGTTTAGAAATATTGCATATTGAAGTGTTGGGAGGAGATGCTCGTGCATTCGAGTCCAACCCCTCAGTAAGAGATGATGAGGACAAGGTAATTGAGACTGGCTTTTCACCCAATTGTTCGTCAGATATAGAGCTTGAACAGGACAGATGTAGTTCTTGCCGTGAAGAACTCATTATCTTTTCAATTGGGGATACAAAACTTGAATCGTTCAACATCAATCTGCAGCCCTCTTCGGCCTTCGATCTGAGATACAATGTAAGATTCCAATTATCAGTGACAACAGCAACAATAGCAATACTAGTAAAGCAGGTTGGTGTGAAACAGAGAAACCAATAGTGTCATTCAAAGAAATAGAAAAATGTACAAGAGAAAAAATGGTCACCCACAAATCATAAAAAGTACCACCACTTTGATGAAATGATAAGCAGCATTAACTTACATTTCATCATTTTGCTTACTCTCATCCAATGACTGTTGACACAAGCTGATAGTTTCGCCACATTTAACCTCCAATTGATGCATATGAGCAATATCATCTATTCTGGATGAACTTGTGGCCATCTTACCCTCTACAAAAGAATCTGAGCACATCTGCTGAGTTCCACAGTCAAGATCACCAGAAGGTTTTGACATATCACAAGCATCTAATTCATGGTTGTCATTTACAGCTGCAATGGAAGTTGATGAACTATCCCTGAGGTTTATGACGATCTGAGCTACGTCTCCATAAGGTCCTTTGACTTTGGCTTGTATATCCTTAACATTGGGTGGCTTAAATTCAGGAACGTCCACTGATATATCAGTTTTTGCAGTGAGCTGACTTGAATCATTGTCCATAGCAGCATTTCTCAGAAATTTCTCCACTCTCTCCTTCCCAGATTCATCATCTACTTCACGACTGTCTAATGACCCATTGCAATTGCCCGCAGAAGAGCTACCACCAATTGAATTATTTATTTTTGACAATCCCCCGAGATCTCTTTGATTGTCTTCAGAAGTGTTAGCTGACATGGCCTGTAAAGCACGGTGAAGACGTTTAGATGGGGGCAAAGCAGATTCACCAGCAAGTGAACCACCAAATTTTCTACTGCATAACTGTTCCACTTTAACAGGACATTTATTCAATGGAGAAGAGTTTTGAGCAATAGCACTATCTCCTTCATTCAGCAAACCAATAGACTGCTCTGTAGGGCTATTACACAAAGTTGTCCTTTTACCTTCTTCCTCTACTGAAATAACATGTTCCTCCAATGCAGGTGATGGCCTACCCATGCGAACTCTCGCTCTTTTGAAAAGTGGCAAGTGCTCATCACCATCTTCCTTGACATTTTTTACAAAACACTCAGTTGTCTTTTCAACATCGTTCAGCAATTTATGTCCAGATACAACCACATGTGTTTCAGGAACTGTTTCTTCGACAGGAGCATCAGTAGTTGCAGTTGAACCGTTAGGAAATCTTTTCCTGTTTGGTTTCCTCTTCTTCTTCAGTATTACACTATTACAACTGAAATCAAGCTTGTGGTTAAACTCTACCTCCCCTTCCACATGCTCGAGTGACCTAAGCTCAAATTTGCAATCAGATTCTACACTGCTGCCTTCATTGAAGCTTGAGGTATCAGAATCTGCTGTTGCAATTTCAAAATCATTCTCTTCAATACTACCATTTGAAAAGGAAGTAGGTGAAGCTATGTCATGCTTGTTAGAATCATCTACTAACTTCCTAGTCCTTTTACTCCTCCTCAAAGTGTCATTTCTCAAAGTACTGCGACCTTTTTTCTGTGTGGCGAAATTCTGTGATCTCAAAGAGTTGAGTTTACTTCTTGAAGAAGGAGTCTTTGTAGTGGAATGTGTTCCCTCTACTATGCCACTACGCTCTTTTGATGGTGCATGTTCATCAAATGAAGGTTCTCCAACCGCTCCGGTCAGACTAGTTTCAGTTGAACAGTTTAGAACACTTATATCGCCAGCAGCGTATTTCACCTTTTGACAAGGATTGTGTGGTTCTGTCGGCATTTCATATATCAGTCTAGTTGACTCATTTTTGAACTTATCAAAGCAATCAATTATCTCACGTACTGCACGACCAAAATCTGCGCCTTTTGCATTACGTTTCCCAAGGAGAGATTCTTTTTTCTCTTCCGTGAAAGCTTCAACATCAGAAGGGTTGCAAAAAGCTCTGTGCAAAAAGGAAAGACATTGGAAATGAGGTAGAGAACAAAAAGGAAGGAGAGGAAGAAACCATACACTTGGCATTACTAGACCAATAGGAGTGACCTGTCACTTGACTCTTCAGACACATTTGGAAAAGATGCTGAAGGTCAAAACATTCATTACAAGGATATATTGTAAGAACATAAGATACTTCAATCAGACAATACGAACATGAAAATTTTAAGTTCCTATTAAGTCCAATAAAAGAGGTTACTATTAATGCATTTAAACTCAATAAGATAATGTAAGTATATGGGTAATTGACGAATTTTGAACATTTAAATTCTTCTATTCACTAGAAAATAGAAACAACTCAGCTTTGCCCAATTAGATCTTAAATAGAGTAATTTAATTGTAGGATGAAATGATGCACATAAGATAAGGAAGCGAAATTAAATAGATGGCATGCATATGATCGTAATGAATAAGAACAGAGCCAATATAGCATGCAATACTCACATTTGCTGAGTCCCAAAAAAGTAGACCAGCACCTTCTTCCAGTCAGGAGGATAACCCCACTTCTCAGGCTCACTTACCTGCCATCCACAACCAGTAAGTGTAACTATACTCCCTTTCTAGTTCTTTAATCCAATTATACATGAAGGATTGTATGGCAAACCACAATGGAAGAATAGAAAGCTACACTCTTGCTAAATACAATATAGTCCATTAATATGCACACTCTTTTCATTAGAAATGTACTATAAATAATTCAATAACTTTTTGGACTATTTTATAAAATCAAAATATATAGAATATTTTCCTTTTTGTTATGCGGAAGGGCTGAAATGATTTCATTCTGCAAAAGAGGTATAGGGGTGAAAGCATATGCAAGGTCTGGGCAAATAAGGGGTCCTTAAGGTATAGATATTTGCACAAAAGGACTGCTTGTCTAACCAACTGTTATAAATAGTATAGCCTAATCTCACTCCAGTACCTTGAATACTTGATTACTTGAAGAACTTTTTGAAGTATTAATATCTGACCCCAAGAATGTGTGATGCATTAGACATAAATGACAAAAGAATGCCAGCTAAAAACTAGATCAAAATACCTTTGTAGTAAAAACTGTCAAAAAGATTCATCCAAATCGAATTAAGCCAATGTGAAAGTTAAAATAGGATAAGTTTCCATAGAGAGAGGCCCAATTGGCCAACTTTGCATTATAATATTGTTGGTTTAACTGCCTAAGGGAAAAAAAATCCTGCATACACGAAAACAAAGTCCCAAATAAAACAAAAAGGTCACAAGCCAGTAGGAAAGCAGAGTTGCCAATTGAAACTTGAAACATCGAGACTAGAGAGATACATATTCAACACCCACAACATTTATATTTCCTGGGAGAAGGCAAAGGTTTGAGGTGTTTGGTATAATGGTGTCTACGTAAAGGGAATATGTATAAGATGTGAAATTTGCAGTGGTATAAAGAAAAGAGCGTGATAGAAAAAAAATTATAGACATTACAGAAAATTTGAGTTTGAGCAGGAAGGCTGCAGGATTCCAAAACATATAGCCTACGAACATATTTTATGGCATGTCAACTAATGTTAAGCATTTTAGAGTGCTTGCTGCTTGGGAAAAAACTATTTTCAATGTTATCCTTACGTGTTCTAAAGCACAAAGGGGAAAACTGTGAACATATAATTTAAATAAATAAATGGATGGATAAAAAAAATAGATAATGAATAATTAATAATTAATTAACCAAATGTGCCCAGTTTTGCCAAGCCAAAAATAATCATTATTGTTGTGGGCTTGTTACCAATATTTTGTAGGTGAATTACTTTGCTCAAATTAAGACTAGGTCCTCAAACAAGAAGTTTGGTAGATAAGAAATGTGGTCCTAAAAGTTTTAACGGAGTAGAGAAATACTAGATCAAGTGGAATTGTATAGAAGAAAGTAGGCAAATCACAAATCACAAATAGAGTACAAAGGAAGCAGATGGATAATTGGCTAGAAAACAACAATCTAAATTCCAAGATTTTTTGTTGGGTGTGGCTTTTTAAAACTTCCTCTAAAATCGGGACAAATCTTTCAATGGGAGGTATTGTTATGTCTTAATAATTAAAAAACATCAAAAAGAACATGTAAATGGTTTATCTTTGCATAGGTCGATAAGTTCAAACATCATGTATCTCGTGAAGGGGATGCCTTCGGACAATTTTCAATAGCTCGGCATTAAGGCAAAGCTCAAGGTGTAAGCCTCCATATCTTTATAAAATTATACCAATGTGAAGACATTTGTAGCTTTTAATTTCATGCAATCAAGATGATGATGATAATAACATGACATTTGGGCTACATAGAGAAGAACTACTCTGTCAAAAAGAGCTTTTGCATCAAAGTTTGGGTTTGATTCTCCTTACTGAACTCCTAAAGTCAGGTAAGGTTTATCAACAAAAATTGAATCAGTGCATTAGTTTCTTAAGAAATAATCAACATTAACTATTTCAAACTACACATTATCTTAATGATTAAAAGGACCTAGTACCAACTGTTATGAAATTCATTTTACAATTTCAAACTAAGCATCATCTTAATGTTGACTTTAGTTCCATAATATTAATACTAATACTCGAATCCTTTTACACAATTATATCAAGATAATAATTAGCCTTTTACACACAATTATATCAAGATATCAGGTTACAGGTATACTCGAATCCTAGTCATGTATTCTCAATCTGCTTGCCAAGTGACATCCTAAAGTAACCACTACTCATTTATCCAAGTTAGGGGGAACGGCACATGTTAGATCACCTTTTTGTCAATGTAATTCAGTAAAGGCTACTATCAAAGCACTGATACTAGCACCTGTCACTCCCTAAACTACTCTCAGATTTTCTTATATCCGAACAAAGTACTAATTTGATTACTCGGTATATCAAAATTAGTTGCGACCATCATCACTATCAATCCAACTTTTAGAATAGGGAAAGTTAAAGAAAATTAAAGAATTAATAAGTACTCCTTAGTTCAGAGTAAAGCTAAACGCCTAAACCAAACGAACGCATTTCAGCCGCAAACGAAAGTCAACTCTATCAAAAAGAAACATTAAACTTACAATAGCAGGCCAGGCCGGAAAGCCTTTGACCTTGGCAAGAACGAGATCCCCTATCTTCCACTGTGGCCTAGCGGCAACAGCTTTACTGCCACCACCTCTTTTCCGACTCGGGGCCATAGAAACGCGGAAATAAGTAATCTGTTAAGTGAAACGCCTGCGCAGCTTAAATATCAACTCCGAACCCACAGCGCCCGTTTCTGGGAACAAGAACCAAACAGCTTCGAGTGTCCTAATGTTTCCAACTGAAGAATTGGCGAAACAAATCTCATGCATTGATAGATCTTTAAAAGGAAAAAACGGCAATCATTCAAATTTTCAAAAGAAAAAACAAAAGGCTAGAGGAAACCCTAAATTAAGTATACTAATTGAAGTAAGCACGGCGGGGCAAAGAGCAGCATGCATATGGATGAGCTGGGGCTTAAACCCCTAACCCTATTTTTTCTACGGATGAGACTAGCAGAGGGAGAGAGTGGGGAAGTCTTGTGGAAGAAGCCCATTCTGAACAAAACAGATAAGAATTGGGTAAAGGGAGGTTGCTATGATGCGCCGCGCGTTGTCTGAGTGAGATGAGTCAGCTAACGTGCGCGGTAGGCGGACTCGGCCTTTCCCAAACACCGAGCCACAATACAAATCAATCTTCATCCTTCATTTTAATGTGATCTGGATGGTTCAGATTTTTTCCTCTTTTCACTATCAGTTTCTTTCTAATCATTGATCCCTCATCTTCTAGGAGAACTTCACTCTTCTTTTCATTTTCGTTTCATCTTTTCCACCATTCTCTTATCACTGATTCATCATATTTGATTTCCACACTTCCTTCTTCAATGATCTATCCTCTTTTTTCCTTCATCATATTCCTGATGTCTTCAAAGCCTCCAAGCATTCGTAGCCGGAATGAAAGAAGACCGCCACGAGATCCGCCGGCTCCACCAATATAATCGACTCCAAGATTTTTACCGTCAATCGATTTCTCTAAATGTCTCATATTAGTTCATTTACATCTGCTTCTGAATTTCATTTATTGAAAGTTGTTCATTATCCTTGATTTACGCATATATGGATAAGTTTGTGTTTTCACACTTCGTTTTTTAACTTCACAAGTCAATGATGAATTTATACATGATTGAGTGATGGTATATCAAATTTATTTTGTTGATAGTATTTCAAAGGTATTTGGTTTCATTGTTATATTCTTAGACTGGTTTCATGTTTTGGGTTCTACGATAACTGTTTAATCACCCCTTTGATCATAAAGTTCATGATATGTGTTTATATGCGCTTAAACTAATACACATAACAGATAGTATCACTTCTGTGAACGGTTATGCTTCTGTGTTTTCCTCTAGTACTATCCTCACACACCACCATGCGCCTTTACCGCGCACTCTGTCCTCACTCGTGCGCGCCCTGAAAAACTTCTCAGGGGTCACCTGTAACACCCCGGTCCGTAGGCACCAGAATAGTTACTTCTGATCTCTCTCGACCTCTAGTACTGTCCTCACACATCACCACGAGCCTTTACCGCGCACTTTGTCCTCACTCGTGCACGCCTTGAGAAACTTCCCAGGGGGTCACCCATCCCAAGACTACTCCCGTGCAAGCACGCTTAACTTTGGAGTTCTTGGGTGATGATCTCCCTTAAAAGGAGATGCACCTCTGTTGGTATGAGTAGTACTATTAATCCAACGGAAGAAGAATCAATCCAAACGGTCATGAAACGTGGAAGAACGAGCTTGCCGGAGTGGCCGCCGGACTGGTTTTCCGTCGAAGAATGAAGCAACTTCTGCTGCCGCCTCCAGCCAACATCCGATCATCACCGAACATATCTCATTTCCACCAGTCTGTCTTCGATAACCCTGTGTTTTTGCTCCCGGCGAATCACAATGAAGAAGACGACAAAGTCGTTCTTCTGTTTTGTTAAAACTAAGGCTGGAACTTGCTGTAAAAAAAATGGGCCGAATTGTTTAAAATAGAATTTCGGCTGTGATAGTAGTAGCAATGATCTGGACTGATATTAATACCTACGGGCTGCTTATGTTATAATCTGGACTGATCGCAATTAATGATACGGAGTATTGATTAATCTGGACCGATTGTAATATATTGAAAATAGTAAAAATGATGAATTGGTTATTGTTTATAAATAAATAAAATTGAATGATTTATGATAAACGATGGGCCGATTAGAATAAAAATGGAATTTGGACTATTTACACTACACCAACTGAATTACTACAAAATAGAAATTTGGTTTATTATAAAATAAATGGATAGACCAATTAGTACTTATAAAATAAAATAGTTCTCACCCCTAAAATAAAACAAAAAGTCTATTGGTTTATCCTAAATGAAATTTCGGATTAATTTAAGAAGAATAAAATAAAATAATTTAATTAGTGGACTTTATGGCCGGTTAATTAGACTTGCTAGAATAAGTAGATCAATTTAAGCAACATAGTCGGTCATCCTCACCTTAATTAAGCTTAAGCGCGTTCTACGCTTCTCGATTGAACTTTGACTAATTTCGGCGAACTTTGACCAACTCCGGCGAACTTTGACCAACTCCGACGAACTTTGACCAACTCCGACGAAACTCCGGTGAAGCTCAAAAATACTTTAAATCAAGTTCCTAACAAGGTTTTATCAACACAAATAACCTATAAAAGGTTATTTTCCGGCAAACCGGTCGCTTTGGCTTCTAAGTCCGTTCTTGGACAGAGAACCACTTTCCAACCCATAAATCCATACTTAGAACATGGAGAACCATCCCAAGGGTTCTTCATATAATAAATATTCCTCATGGTAGAAGAAGAATAAAGGGAAAGCTATGGCAAGGTGATTACCTCAATTTCCACACCTTCCTACACCTTTTTCCTTCTCCAAACACTCCTCTTTGGATCCTCTATCTTGAGCTCGAATTTGGGTGTGAAAATGATGAATTTCAGAGCTCCTCCTTGCTATCCTTGGGTGTTGCTACGAGTGGGTGGAGGTGGTGAGGTGAGAGGGGTGGTTTTTGTTTCATTTAGACAAATGAGTGAAGGGATGGGGTCTACTAAATGTCAAAGGGTGTCTCCCCCATCCTATCAATTGTTATTCAGCCAACTTAGCCCTCATCCAGCCCCCAAAGGTTGACAATTTCGTGGGGTGGCCCCCACCCATGTGGAGGTCATCCTAATTTGTCCCAAAGTGTACAATTTGCCCCGAAAGTTGTATTTTCCGGACTGTTTTAGATATATTTTATTTTATCGGGTTAAATAAATATATTACGTGTTCTTAATCATTATAACATTTAGAATGAATATGCATTCCCCAACTTTAATTTATAAGTCTCCAAAATCCAATTTCAGGCTTTTATCTGATAAATTTATCGATACCGGTATTTGGGCCTCTATTGACCAATCGGTCAACTCTGGGCCTTTCCATGGCCCAAATGAAGTATCCACCATCTATAAATATTTTCTAGACCCAGATGAATATAATATGTGGTCCCGATAATATCGGGCGGTCCCCACTCCCGATGTGGGCCCCACGTGCATTTTACTATTCACGCGAAAAATTTAATACAAATTCACAACCTCGTAAATTCACTAAGAATTTCATAGGGTTCAATAAATTATTCGCTTAAAGATAAATACATTTGGGGACGGTGTTACAAGTTCACCCCCCCTTATTTGGGATTTCGTCCCCGAAATCCGCGTGTCTAGTCGAAAAGGAAAGGGTACTGCTCCCTCATTGAGACCTCAGTCTCCCAGGTTTCTTCTTCGACTCGATCACTCCTCCAAAGGACCTTTACCATAGGAATCTCCTTGTTCCTCAGTTTCTTTACCTGTTGACCCACAATCTTCACCGGTTCCACCGCATATTGTAGGTCTTCACGTATCTCTACCGGTGGTTTCTCAAGGATATGAGACGGATCTCGCACGTATTTCTTGAGCATCGATACATGGAACACGTCGTGTATCTTCTCAAGTTCTGGCGTCAATTTGATACGGTAAGCCACGGCCCCTACCCTTTCAAGGATTTCAAATGGGCCAATGTATCGGGGGTTAAGCTTTCCCCTCGATATAAATCTGATGATACCTTTCCAAGGAGAAATCCTTAGAAAAACCTTATCACCGACCTCAAACTCCAATGGCATGTGCCGTTTGTCAGCATAACTCTTTTGCCGATCTTGGGCAGCCTTGAGTCTATCCTGAATGACCTTCACCTTAGCCTTGGTGATTTCGACAAGTTCAATCCCCTCGAGCTTGGCTTCGCCAACCTCGTTCCAACACAACGGTGTTCTACATTTCCTCCCATACAATGCCTCGTATGGAGGCATGCCAATACTCGCCTGATAACTGTTGTTATAGGCGAACTCGACCAGAGCCAAATGCTTGTCCCAACTCCCTTGGAACCCCAGAGCACATGCCCTAAGCATATCTTCCAGAATCTGTATCACCCTCTCGGATTGCCCATCCGTCTGTGGGTGGAAGGTTGTGCTAAACTTTAGCTTCGTACCCAAAGATGCTTGAAATTTTGGCCAAAATCGGGATGTGAAATGTGGGTCCCTATCCGAGACAATGGATATCGGAACTCCATGCAGTCTCACAATCTCCTCCGTGTACAGCTTTGCCAATCTTTCAAGAGGATAAGTAATGTTGATAGGCAAAAAGTGTGCACTCTTGGTGAGCCTATCAACCACTACCCATACTGCATCATAGTTGTTCACTGTTCGTGGTAGCCCCACCACGAAGTCCATGGTCACGTGCTCCCACTTCCATTCTGGAATGGTAAGTGGTTGCAAAAGTCCCGCCGGGTGCTGATGTTCCGCCTTGACTTGTTGGCAAGTAAGGCACCGACTTACATACTATACGATGTCCCTCTTCATACCCGACCACCAGTAACTTTCCTTCAAGTCTCGGTACATTTTAGTACCTCCTGGATGCATGGCATACGCCGAAGAATGAGCCTCCTCCAGTATAGACTTTTGGAGCTCCTCATTCCTTGGTATGCATACACGGCCTTTAAACAATAAAAGACCGTCATCACGTACCAGAAAGTTCTCAACAGGTCCCTCCAGGATCCGTTCACGGATCTTCTGACATTCTTCATCAGTGGCCTGACATCTACTGATCTCACTCAGCAATGTAGGCCTAACCTCGAATCTAGCAATGAGGACCCCACTCGTGGACACCTCCACTTGTGCCCTTAATGAGCGTAGACACGCGAGTAACGTCCCCGATGTACTCTTCCTGCTCAGTGCATCGGCTACTACATTGGCCTTCCCGGGATGATAGTCGATGATCAAGTCATAGTCCTTGATCAACTCCATCCATCTCCTTTATCTCATATTCAACTCTTTTTGAGTGAATACATACTTCAAGCTTTTATGATCGGTGAAAATGTGACACGTCTCCCCATAGAGATAATGCCGCCAAATCTTCAGTGCAAACACTACCGCTCCCAACTCTAGATCGTGGGTAGGGTAGTTTGCCTCGTGTTTCTTCAATTGCCTTGAAGCATATGCAATCACCCG